ATTATATAAAAGCTGAAAAAGACAAAAAGTTTTAAAAACACACTATGTTTAATATTCCTTGTATTCCCCACAAAACCTTTGACAGAGTAGGCACTCGGTAAATGTTTGATGATAAAGATAGAAAATATTTATTCTCCTTTGAAAATAACTCAAGTTTTTTGAAGGAGTACTGATTGGCATCAGGATCTTAGAAGATTCACAGTAGAATTGCCATCACTTTGCCAACAAAGGTCTGTCTAGTCAAAGCTATGGTTTTTCCAGCAGTCATGTATGGATGTGAGAGTTGGACCATAAAGAAGGCTGAGTGCTGAAGAATTGATGCTTTTGAATTGTGGTGCTGGAGAAGACTCTTGAGAATCCCTTGAACTGCAAGGAGATCAAACTAGTCAATCCTAAAGGAAATCAATCCTAAAGGAAATCAACCCTGAATATTCATTGGAAGGACTGATGCTGAAGCTCCAATCCTTTGACCACCTGATGCGAAGAGCTGACTCATTGGAAAAGATCCTGACGCTGGGAAAGACTGAAGGCAAAAGGAGAAGAGGGAGGCAGAGGATGAGATGGTTAGATAGCATTACCAACTGAATTTGAGCAAACTCCAGGAGACAGAGGACAGGGAAGCCTAGTGTGCTTCAGTACATGGGGGTCTCAAAGAGTCAGACACGACTTAGCGATTGAACAACAACATTGTAATAAGAACTATGGCAGTGGCAAGCCAGGAGATCAACAAATGAGGATTAACCTTCACTTATACGTTCCAGGATTTCTACCCAATAGTTATTGTCTTGATTGTTGTTGCTTAGTGGCTAAGTCATGTCCGACTCTTTTGTGACCCCATGGACTGTAGCCCGCCAGGCTCCTGTGTTCATGGGATTTCCCAGGCAAGAATCCTGGAGTGGGTTGCCATTTCCTTCTCCAGGGGATCTTCCCAACCCAGGGATAGAGCACATGTCTCCTGCAGTGGCAGACCGATTCTTTACCACTGAGCAACCAGGGAAGCCTATTGTCTCACTACCTATTGCAAACATGAAAAAGACAACCAAAACAATGCTGTAGCACCTGGTACTGTTGGTCTTATCTGGGAAACCAACTGCAAATTATTAAGCTTGCAGAAGTATCCTTGGGTCTTCCATAACTTTTATTCTCTGATGCTTCAATATAAACACAGAGCAGAATATCTATTCTCACTTGAGCCTTATTCATTAAAGTTAAATCATTAATACATTTCAAAGTCTACACCCAAAGTGCTCTATGAATTATATCAGTTCCCTGTACTTTTTTAAGGTACACCCCTTGGAATTTTTTCAATACATTCAGTCAGTCAGTTCAGTTGCTCAGTCGTGTCTGACTCTTTATAACCCCCTGGACTGCAGCACGCCAGGCCTCCCTGTCCATCATCAACTCCCGGAGTTTACTCAAACTCATGTCCATCGAGTCAGTGATGCCATCCAACCATCTCATCCTCTGTCTTTCCCTTCTCCCCCACACCTTCAATCTTTCCCAGTATCAGGGTCTTTTCAAATGAGTCAATTCTTCAATAGATTCAATAGCGTATATATATGTGTCAGAAATTGTGCAGGCATTGAATAAATAAATTCATTAATACAACTAAAACTTACTCGATTTCTAGTACCAGGAGCAGACCTTGCCTCTGCTTACTAACAAGCAAATATAAATGCCAATTGTCAGAAAGAAATCCATGCGAGATCCCAAGAAGACACAAGTCTCCCAGGATTAGGCTGAGGAAGAAGGCCAGGTGGAGGGGTGGGGCAGGAGGACAGGCAAACAATTTGAATATCACCTGATAAATGCTATACCAGCATATAGCCAAAGTACTGTCAAAATACAAAAGAGGGAGGATTTAATTCCCTCTAGAGATTTGGGAAAGGAGGTGAAATCTTCAGGGATGAATAGCCTTTCTACAGGCTTAAAATGAGTGCTGGTAACGACGGTGGTGATGGTGCTCAGGAAGGCATTTCCTCGGGTGTGAACACCATGTACCAACGGTGAGGAGTGGATGGATGATCATCAGACTACTCCCACTGATTCATTAGCCTCTTGGCCAAGCACCACCATGGCCTGCTGAACCAGTCTGAGTGGGAGTTGCTATTTCAGGTCTCAGATTTTTTTTCCTTCAGAGTGGAGGGCTGCCACATAAAATACAAGATGTCCAGTTAACTTTTGAATTCCAGATAAACAATAAATAACTTTTTAGTAAAGTCCCTTATATTTAGGACATACTTATGTAAACATTATTTATCTTAAATTCAAATTATTAAAAACTTTGACTTTTTGTGTATTTTACTCACTACATCAGGCAATCCTACCAGAGTGGTAAAAACCTGGCGGAGCTTCTGTAGCAGAGATGATAAACAAAAAACAAAACGCAACCATGACCCCAGTTTTCTGCAGCCATCCCAGCCAGCGCAAAGTCTCTCTAACTGGAAGCCAGAGCGAACAGGCGTCCAGAAAAGAGACACCGTATCTAGGCAACCACGGCGCGAACTCACCTGACCATCCGCTAGATTCGGGTTAGACGTGCGGTGCATCCTGGGAGTGAGTTTTCTAAGTTCGGATTCGCCTCCAAAGGCCACGGGACTACAACTCCCAGGAGCGCCAATGGGTCGCTGCGAGGCACGCTAGGGAGTGCTGGTTTTACCCGGTTGAAGAGTCCTGGTGGGTTGCTTGTGTAGCAAGAGACCAAGGCCGATTTTTAGAGAATCGTAACATTAAGAATTAACATAAAAGGTTAAACCGAGCATTACTGCTTTCAATACAGAGAAAACAAGTCTTCCGGAACATCGTGGTGACACGTGTAGGCGCGTGCTGACGTCACATCGCACGCTGATGGGTGGGGAGTCGCTCCTGCGCGTGACTCCACTTCCTCTTTTTGATTGGCTGTCCTGTAGGTGCGGCGCTCGCGCGCGGACGCCCTTGATTGGTGTCTCGGAGCTGCTGGGTGGGACTCCGGCTGCAGCCGCGGGAGGTCCGGACACTGGCGGCCATGGGACTTGCCGGTAAGTACGCGTCTGACTTTCCGTCGCCGGTCCTCTCTCCATCTTCCAAATTGGGACTGGGCTGTCCTCAGGGGAGCATAGCCGGTGATGGAGGGGGAGAAGCCGACCCAGCTTGAGGCTCGGAATTCGGGGTCGAGGGGCTCGGGAGTCGAGTGGGGTTGAGGGTGCGCTGAGGCGGCCGCACTGTAGCCGGTTCCCTGTCGGCTGAGGCGGGCGGGACGAACGGCTCCGGGACCCTCGGCCTCGGTTTCCTGCTCACTTTCTGGCCCTCTTCCTCCCTTGGGTCCTGGCGAGACCCCGCGCGGGGTCGCTGACTGAGGTGGAGTCATCTCTTCCTTGGCCCTGGCGCTCCCCGGCGACCTCAGAAAGTGAAGCCGGGACGGCGCCCGGGGGTTGGGTTGGAAACACGGTCCTCTTGACCCCAATCCTCCCCGCCCCCAGAGCCCCTCTAAGGCTTCTCAGAAGTCTGCTGCTGATGACTGTCCAGGGACTCATTGACTGTGGCTGTGGATTTTACGGCCATCTCGCATTTGCCACTTAAGTGGCTGAGTGGGGACCTTGGACAAATCGCTCAACTTGTCATTTGCAAAATAAGAGAGTTGTTTCACTAGATCTCCAAGCTTCCCTTCAGCTTTAAAATCTTAAGATTTTGTGCTTGTACTGTTTGTTGTGCTTTTATGCCATGAAGGTGTTAGGCGTGATACCCTGATAGACAGGTTGCTTACAGAACATTGCAGGTTAATGACAGAGCTTTAAATCATTTCATTTGGTTCTTTACTCACTGTTTTCGTTATCATTCATCTTTTAAAATTGAATGGAACTGGAAATTCAGGTTTAAGTGAGAAACCACAGTAAGAAAATGTTACTGAAGCTACTTAACAGTACAAACTTATCTCTTGATTTGATAATATTGAATCTTAATTAGTAAATTCAGCTCAACAAACACTGAGTATTTCTGAGACTGTGTTTAAAATAAAGATGACTTTGTTGGAGAGAATAGATTTTGCACAAGCTGTTGCTTTGCATTTTCTGAGTTTGTGGTGAATCAGAAACTCAGACATTTAGAATGGCTTCCCATTGTATAGTTGAGTTTCTGGAGGCATGGAATTCTCATTTGTAAAAGCTGAGGATGAGTTTCACTTGCTTTCTCTTTAGCGTTAAAAGTCTTAAGAATCTGTAGTCATATTGAATATTTAGTGGGTATTTTGCACTGATGATCTCGGGACCTCTTAGCTGAACATTTCCTACTTCAGATGTAGAAAATGGCCCCAGATCTAGCCCATCTCTAGTTTTTATCTTAGATTCCAAACTGAAGAAAGGGTCATTCGTGGAGGGAAGATGTACATAACCGAAAGTTTTAAGAAATGAAAGGAACGGTTTGATTATCACTGTTTTTGAATAAGGAAGGGCAAAGTGAGGTCTGGCATGTGCTACCAAGTAATACTTTAAAAAGTTACTCTCAAAAGACGGTTCTTACTCTGGATATATTTTAGTGTAAATCACAGAGTTAATACTAGCGAACTTGATGGGATTCATTGAGTCAATGGCTTAAGCTCTGAAGTGAGGTTAGCAAGCCTTTTCTGTAAAGAGTTGCATGTCTAATTGTCAGGATAAACTGCTTGGTTAGTACGGCAAAGTATTATTATACTTTGGTAACAAAAATTATTTAAAATTATGTGTAGTGGTATTCTTAGATCAAAATTAAGATATGAGGACCATTGCAGAGTCTAGTTTTGTTGTATGGCCCACAGTAAATGGTATGCAAGTAAATGCTGTCAAATGCATGAATTCATTGTATGTTTTATTTCTAGGGAAAGAGCTAACAAATTTACATTAACATTAAAACGATATGTATGTCTGGATTTGGAGTGCGGAATGCATTTTGTCTCTGAGCTGAGATCCTGTCTACTCTCTCTTTCAGGTACTAGAGGACACCTGTCTTAACTGGGTTGCTCTAAGGACTAATGCCTAAACCATCTCAGCATGGCCTGTAGAGGAAGAGGTGGGCATGGCCAGCCTTCCTCAGCATCACTCTCCTGTGTCATCCCTGGAAGTCTTCACACATTTAGGACCTGTGCCCATAATATATGCATGGTGTCGGACTTTTTCTACCCAAACATGGGAGGCGTGGAAAGTCACATTTACCAGCTCTCTCAGTGCCTGATTGAAAGAGGGCACAAGGTCATAATTGTCACCCACGCTTACGGAAATCGCAAAGGCGTCCGTTACCTCACTAATGGCCTCAAAGTCTATTACTTGCCTCTGAAAGTCATGTACAACCAATCTACAGCCACGACCCTCTTTCACAGTCTGCCATTGCTCAGGTACATATTTGTTCGGGAGAGAGTCACGATAATCCATTCACATAGTTCCTTTTCTGCCATGGCCCATGATGCCCTCTTCCACGCCAAGACAATGGGCCTCCAGACAGTCTTCACGGACCATTCCCTTTTCGGATTTGCTGATGTCAGCTCGGTGCTTACAAACAAGCTTCTAACTGTGTCTCTTTGTGACACAAACCACATAATTTGTGTCTCTTACACTAGTAAGGAAAACACTGTGCTAAGAGCAGCACTGAATCCTGAAATAGTATCCGTCATTCCTAATGCTGTAGATCCTACTGACTTCACTCCAGACCCAGTTAGAAGGCATGATAGTATAATAACTATTGTTGTTGTCAGCAGACTTGTTTACAGAAAAGGTAATGAAATGATAGCTACAATTGTACTGCACAGCCTTTTTTTCCTTGTAGAAAGCTGTTGAATATCTGTGTTAAAATGATTGTTGGGCTTCTCATTTTGTTTTACGGTTTTATAACTACTTCTGTGTTAAATATAGTAAAGAAGGGTCTAATATGTTTTATACATCCTAAAGGAGAAATTTCTAGAACAGTGGTAAATACTATTTCTACCCTCACCCCCTCCTTTGATGTTTTAATAGTTGCTTAAAGGAAAAACAACCTGATGCTGTTTAATAGTTAAGGTCTGTTGGAAATTTCCCTGCATATACAGTGAGAAGTACAGCCCACCACATAACCCTTTTTTTTCATTGCAGATATTTTGAAAGCTAAGAAAATCACAAGGGTGAAAACTAATATCAGCTGTAACTGTGTGATGCAGGGATGACCCTAATGAATGTTTTGATTTATAGCTTTCCTGTTGTTTTTAATTCATTTACTCAGAGTCAGTGAGCTTGTTCTGCACATTGCCGTTCTGTAGCTTGCTTATTTCCTTTCAGTGTAGATAAGACAATAATGTATTGGCAGGTAAGTGATGAAGAAAGTGGGGTTAGATGGCCCCAAATCCTATCCTGGTTCTGTCCTGCTGTGTCATCGATGACAAGCTACTTAACACCTCTGAGTCTCACTTTTTCCATTCTGTGTGATCTGAGCAGCAGTGGTAATCTTAGGAGGTTCAGTGATGGGTCCTATAAAGTACTCGGGAAGGGTCTGCTGTGCTCAGAGAGGATGGCTTCAGTGCATCTGCAGCATTTCACGGATACCACAGCCTCGCTGACTGAGAGTCTGAAGCAGTCCGGTTATTCAAAACATAAATGGTCTTCTGGATGGTATCGGAAAACCAATTGTCAGCCATCAAAATTGTCACTAGAAGTAGGGAATTGTGAAAAAGATAATATGTAACCACCCTTTTAAATATTTGAATTTACTCAAAATACTGTTACCATGCACCGAATTGCCAATAAGATGTAGGCCTGTAGGCTTAAGAGTATTGGTTCATTGGTTTGAGTGGAATCATCTCTCTTGCACAGCCGTCTTCAAGAAGCATAATTTACAGTTGCCAGTCTGGGTCTCTTACGTGTGATGAGACCCTAAAGGCGTGTGAAGTGATGTACCTCTGAATTTTTCATTTGTTTTTGATCTTACACAATGGTTCAGGATACCCCCTGATCTGACAAGGACTTTTTCTATATCTTGACTGAGTGTTTCAGGCTGTTCAGCTTAGCTTCACAGAAACTCATTTTGTCCGTTTATGTGCTATTTAATTAGGTAAGCCAAATACAGTAACAAGTGCAGTTGGTATCAAATAGATTTGTGGAGAAATGCAGCTGATTCCTGGTAAGCATTCAGCTCAGCAGTGGTGTCCGAAGTGTCCCAGTGCACTGGGGAGTGCAGATGTGGGCCTTGGTCAGAGTGGTTTAGGAATGGAGAGTCTTAGTCTGCGGTGAGCCGATAAACCGAGGTTGGTGAGAAAACCACTGAACTGCGTTTTGAGGGGTGCAGGCAGTGGCATGCTTTCATTCTTTACTTGAAGAAGATGTGAATGGAGCAGCATTCTGTGTTCTGAATCCCTCTTGGGATATTGGTGATGTGTTTATGCCTTTTTTTTTTTTAAAGCACCCTGGTGACATAACCAGCTAAGAAAGCGTATGATGCATACATGGTCAAGGATCAGAGCAGAATTAACTTATCTGTTCAAAGATTGAACCTGGTACCTTTACCTCACTAATCATGGTATTTTAACCAGCTGAGCTAACCAACAGCAGGTATAGCCTTTCCTGTTCTCAGTTCAATAATTAAAAAAATGTATCAAACCCTCTCCATTTGCCAGTAACACTCTAAGACAGAACAGCCATATCTGTAGCCCCAAAGTGAGTAGTTATATTAATGACCTGTTAATTATTAATAGATTAATTTCTTTAGGTGGTGTTCATGTGGACCAGATATGAAGGCCACTGGAACATATTAAGTAAGAGGATAAATCAAAGTTCCTGCTTCCCAGGACCCCTGGCCGGCCTCTTTCCGCTTCTGTTGGGCCTGTTTTGCTCTTCAGCAGGGTTCCGCGGTGCTCCTGTGCGTGCACAGGCGTGCCCTGCTTCTTGCTGTAGTGGTAATGACGACTTACATTTATATTCTGCAGTTGATAAAGCCTGTGCATGATACAGTACCTCACTTGACCCTCCCAACTGTAGTGTAGATGTTATCTGCATGTAACAAAGAAACTGAGTCTCAGAGAGGGTAAGTAACTCACCCAGTTTACACAGTAAGTAAGAGAGACAACCAGCCTGAGTTGAGCTCTTCTCAAGTTAAGGTCTCCTGTTCCCTCCATCCTCAGCCCAGCCATTAGCCTAGGTATAGATTCAGAAAGTTCCTTAAAATACTGTTAGACTGTGCTTTAGAAGAACTTTGAATCAGAAATTTTCTTGTCCATTTTGTGTGAATATGGCAATTGAAAGTCTTTTTGTGTGTTTCGTTGCCTTAGGCTCTTGCTAGAGGTACCAGAGCATTTTTTATTTGTGGGGAGCACTCAGTAAATGTTAGCTGTTGTTAGGGACTCCGATTATTACTCTATATGTTGTTCTAACCTTGGTATTAGAAGAAAGAGGGGAAGGAATTATAGGATGCTGATTGATAGACGTCAGTAAAACATCTGGTTTATCTAGAAATCCAGTTGATGGGCTTGATAATACACTTGAAACAGAGATAGCTAAGATTTTAATGAGAAGGTTTCATAATTCATAAATGCCACATGTGAGTTTGCTAATGGAGTCATATTTTAAAAATACTAGCAGAGTTTATTTAATCCTACTTTGAATTATTTAGTTAAAATGAGCCTTTATTATTTCTCCTACCATCTTTTTAATAATTAATCTGCCTATATTTGGGAAGATTGACTGAAGTGCAGTTCTTGTGTATGTGTCTATGTGCATTTTTTAAGCTTTAATGGCTTATTTTACATTTACTTTTGAATGTGTATGGTTTGTCATTGTTAATGAACTAAATTCTCAAACATCACTACTGTCTCTTTGTATAGCCACTTTTCAGACTAGTGGAGCAAAATTTACTTTGCTGCTTTTTATTACCTGAGGTTGTATATACATATTATGAGAAAGTATTTCATTAAAAGGAAAGAAAGGACCAACATACACCCTTTTGTTCTATAGACTGTAATGATCTGGCACATGAGGTCCTGCCACCTTCATCCACTGTCATTTGGGACAAGTGGGCTATCGCAGGTTTAGATGGACTATTCTTATAAATTTTGCTAATACCATAGCATTCGCTGCAAAATCCTGTGTACAAACTGCATTCTTAACAAAATGGAGGCAGCAGTTATGTTTTGCTGCTTAGCCCTTTCCTATAGTAGGAGGTAGAATCACAGTTCAGTAGAATTTGTGGTTGAGAGAGACCTTGGACTTTAGGTACAGTGGTCTGTTCGTTTTCTTTATCAGGAAACTTTCCCATTGTCAAAGACCTTGCTTGTACAAAGGCCGGAATAAGACCCAGATCTCCAGTCAGCTCTCCCGTTCTGTAGAAAAATTTAACTGAAATGTTAGCTACCTTTAATGCCTTTTTTAGTCACAGGCGTCCTGTAATCACAGGTGAATAACTTGAATGCTATTGAAACAAAATAGTCCACGAACTGAGTGGGTAGACGGTAACAATGGGTGTCAGTATATATCTTGCAGAATTCTTGGGGGACCGCTGATAGTTTGTGAGTGATTCCGCCATTCTAGGAAAGGGTTAAGGGAATTTGTTTCTCTGCTTATGTAAGCTAATACTTTTCAAAGTGAGTGGGTTCTCAGTTCTGATAAAAATTTTAATTATTAACATCGCCAACATTCAACTTTATGTTTTCAGGGACCGATTTACTTAGTGGTATAATACCTGAACTCTGTCAGAAATATCCTGATTTAAAATTCATAATTGGAGGAGAGGGACCAAAGAGAATCATTTTGGAAGAAGTACGGGAAAGATACCAGCTCCATGACAGGTATTAATGGATTCCATATTGTCTTGGGTGAGAAAATATCTTACATAAATTTGGTTTTGGTTTCGTGCCTGCATTAAGTGGGCTGCTTCTGCTACATGTCCTTGATAAAACAAAGTAATGCAAAGCCTGTTTTAAAAAATTATATAAAATGGAAACCCTAGATAGGGTATTCGTAATTTTTTTGTTAGCCCGGTATTATTTGACCTTAGGGGACGCTGGTTGGGGCACCCAAGAATGCACAAAAAACAGCTACTTTGATTGGAAATGTTTGCAGATTCTCAAGCCATACTGAGTTGTGATTTAAATAGCATGGCCCAAATCATGTAAACTGCTTTGCACATACAGATTCAAACATTTCTCTTCCTTGTTAACTTAGATAACATGTGAGCTATGTGCATGTGGAGCCTCAATTTAAAAGAGACATTTTCCTATGTAGAAATGATAATTTAACATTTACTCATCAAAGTGTATTCATCTTTTCATGGAATGCAAACTAATTTTGGAGAGGATGAAATTTGATCTATGACAGAAGTTAGAAATATGTATAGCTGTATGAGTTTTAACCAAACAGTTTTATATGACTTTTAGATCAGAGTTGGGTGACACCAGTCTTTTGAGATGGAAAACGTTATAAGCTTATGAACGGTATTTCTTTTATACCATGATTGTTACTCCCCTCTTTCTTCTCTTGTTTCAAAAATCAGAGTGTGTCTCTTGGGAGCCTTAGAACACAAGGATGTTAGAAATGTCTTAGTTCAAGGACATATTTTTCTTAATACTTCTCTTACGGAAGCATTCTGCATGGCGATTGTGGAAGCAGCCAGTTGTGGTTTACAGGTAAAAAGCTCGGAGGGCTTATTACATTGTTGGGGTTTCTGCATGTGTATTTTGAAAAATAATCAGATGCAGTCTGTTACATTTTTTTAAGTTGGTTTTGCTTGTTTACCTGAGATGAATTCTGGTGGATCACATTTTTTTGTTTTGTTTTGTTTTTCTTTTTAAGGTTGTAAGTACCAGGGTTGGTGGAATTCCTGAAGTACTTCCAGAAAATCTTATCATTTTATGTGAGCCTTCTGTAAAATCTTTGTGTGAGGGATTGGAAAAAGCTATTTTCCAACTGAAGTCAGGAGCATTGCCACCTCCAGAAAATATCCATAATATTGTAAAGACTTTCTACACCTGGAGGAACGTTGCAGAGAGAACTGAAAAAGTACGTCACGTGCTAGAGAAGGGTATTTGAAGATTGTGTCTGGAATTCTTACCTGATGTTTCACATACACATTTACTCCTTTTATATAGGTTTACCATTTCTGCTCTATTGCTTAAATTTATGAGGTCTCTTTCCAGATGAGACTTCTTTTTGTGTATACTAGGCTAAGTTCCTAGTCAGATCATTGCCTTTGACATCTGAAAAATAGTAATGCAGTATCTAGACATTTCATTAAACTGGCCATATAAGAGTTACAGATTTTTCTAGAAGTAATAACAGTTAGAGGCAAAACTAATATTAAAATCTACTTTTAGACATTTTCTTGAGGCTGTTTATAATTCTAAAGCATATAGGTCTATTAGAAAATACCTGGTTTTGCTTAGCCCAGTTGTGGCAACTTTGTAACTTATAAATGTTTAATTCAGGCTACTTCCTAAAACTTGTGTGGCTCTTGCTAGCTGCTGTGATTTTTTTTTTTTTTTTTTTACTGAAAGGAGATTTTTGCATCTTTGGGCTGATGGGGAACATAGTAAGTTAGAATTCCAAATGCACATGACAAATATAAGTAGGATCACAAATAGAAAGCAGCAGTAGAGACTTTCCAAAAGGACAGGTGCAGGAAATAGGTTAATGTCCTTAGGTGGGAGAGTACAGTTGTGGGAAATGTGTCTTTATTTTGAGGTCAGTACTTCAGTTATTCTACTCAATTTCATCTTTGTTTAACTGCCTCTCATTACTTCGTCTGCCCCCTGCCTCTTATTACAACATAACAAGCTGAATGGAAATGCTGTGCTTCTTAGTATTTGGAAACTTAGTATGCAAAAGGACAGTTGGTTGGGAGCCTGGAGAAGATAGTGCTGGGTACTCTTACTGGATTCAGTGGAGCAACTAGTTTCTAGCCCAAAGTTGAGAGCTAGATAGAGCTGAGTAAGCAGAAAGGCTTTCTTGTGGGTTTATAATTATATATATATATATATATATATATATATATATATATAATTGCTTTACAATGTTAGTTTCTGCTATACAATAAAGTGATTCAGCTACATGCATACATATATCCGGTCCCTCACACCCAGCCCCTCTAGGTCATTACAGAGTCTTAACTGGCCTAAATTGTAAATTCCCATACATAAGGTGAGCCCGTATTTGAATGGAAGGGCAACAAAACTCTCCAAAAATTGTCATACAAGTTTTCCATTGAAACATGAGATAATTTGTATTAACAAACAGTTTTTGACTGAAATGACCCCGAGATATTTTCTAGACGTTAACTCCACCAGTGACTCCACCAGTTTGAAATAACTACATTTCCTTGTTTTCCTGTGGAAGTTGGGGCACAGCACTGAGTACTTGCTGGGAGTGCGTGGCAGAATTGTCTCAGGAGTGTTTTCAGGCTCAGTTCATTCTGTTTTCCTGTGCCCTTGCCACTGCTGGATTCTCACAAGACCCTTTGCTGGAGGGTAGGGGCGGAATTCAGGAGTGGCGGACAGGGATGTTTGGTTAGGCAGATTTTCTTAGTGAGGCCCATCCTGACTGAGAACCATATCTCTAATTGTGCCTTGCCTTTTTGATCAACATGCAAACCTCAGAAGTGTGCCCTGTTATACATAACAAGTTCAGGGACAAAGAACTATGGTGACAGTTTTTCAGCCTGTGTTAAAGGAGTGGATTAGGGTTTTAGTTAAGCCACAAATTTTCCTTCAGTTACGCTTAAAGTAATAGTAGAACATCTGTATTGTTTTCAGTTTTACCCTATGACGGTTTATAGTATACATGCAAAGAAGAAAGTGAATCCTTATTGCTAATGGATTGTCAAGCCTGTCATTCTCTCCATAGTAGCAAAGTATTATTTTGTCACTTGAGATCATAAGTTAACTGACCTAGAAATAAAGGTGGACACATGGGTCAGTTTCTAGTTGCTCTTTTAATTCTACCTGTTTCACACAGGATGTTTGATCCCTTTCAACTCCTTAGTTTAACTGCTATTTAGAAAAATTAATCAAGAAATTAAATTGGTGTTTGTGCTGGAAACATACTTTTTCAGTTATAATTCACCACTCAGTGTAATGCTTGACATTTATTGTTCAGTCGCTAAGTCGTGTCTGCCACTTCGTGGCCCTGTGGCCAGGCTTCCCTGTCCTTCACTGTCTCCTGAGGTTGGCTTAAGTTCCTGTCCATTGAGTCAGTGATGCTATCTAACCATCTCCATTTCCTGGAGGAGGAAATGGCAAACCACTCCAGTGTTCTTACCAGGAGAACCCTGTGAACAGTATGAAAATGCTCGACATCTTTCTAACTAAAATATACTCCAAATGTCCTCAGGGTAGAGGAACTCGACAAAACCAGCCCGTGCCTTTCAGAGACCATTGATCTTTAGAACTTGCTCTGCACATCAGAACATTCCTGAGGTCAAAACGAGACAGTTTACAGATCTGATAACACGAGAATGAGCACGAATAATGCCCAAGTGCAGTTAAAAAACACGAAGGCCAGCCCATTTTATGTGTTTGACGTAACTTCAGAGAGCTTTTTTTTTTTTTTTTTTTTTTTAAATATTTCAGAGTTTAGTGCTTAGCAGTTCTTAAAAAAGCAAGCCACCTACTTACCAATTCTTAGCAGTGAACTTTATTTGCCAGTGTTTGGCCTGTCCCCTCTACCCAAATTTCCCCTACCCCTTTCCCCTCCTTTTATTTGGCACCCATGAAATGTCTCTGTTTCCTCCTTGCCTGTGCACAGCAACTAAGCCTCTCCTGGCTGTGAAGAGAAGAGCCTCTCTGAGCCCTAGATTGTAACTCCCTGGTGGTAGTTGAATCAGGAGTCCTAGAGGGCCAGTCCCGCTTTTGGACGTCACTGCTGAATTAAATAAGTCTCGGCAGAGGTGGCCCCAAAAGCCATTCCAGCTTCTCAGGACTTTGGAATTCTCCTAGTTGGTTAAATATTGATAGGGATCCCCTAGGGTACAGGAGCCATGGTAAAGTCATCTGGGTAAATACACCCCAGTGATTTGTCCAGAGGAGGCACTCCATAAGTGAATCAAATGGCAGTACTAAGTGTAAGCAGTTTCATTCATCACATCTTTATTGTAACAACAGTGAAATGTAAGTGCCTCCTGTTTACATCTCTAAAGCACTCCTGACTTGTGCAGGTCGTTGTTTTGTTGCAGCCTGCGATGTTGTGCTCATTTTTGGTTCTGTCCCACCAGGTGTACGACCGAGTGGTAGGAGAAGCTGTGTTACCCATGAGCAAACGGCTGGACAGACTCATCTCTCACTGTGGCCCTGTGACAGGCTGCATTTTTGCTCTGTTGGCTGTATTCAACTTTCTCTTCCTCGTTTTCCTGAGATGGGTGACTCCAGATTCTTTCATTGATGTTGCAGTAGATGCCACAGGGCCAAAGGGTGCCTGGGCTCATCGATATCCTTATCAATATAGTAAAAGAGGGGCTGAGAATACTGAGCTGTCTGAAACAAGATAGAAGAAAGCCTGAATTGTGAGATTTTCAATACTTGTAATCGTTCTATTAAGACTATTGAAAATAACCTTGCTTTTTTTCTTTTTCATTTTAAACTTAATTTAGTAAGTTATGCTACCTCTATATCATTCAATGTTTTATTTTGAGGAAAGATAAACACTTATGCAATTCCTGAGTGCTGAAACTCCTTGCACTTATTTAAAATTTAGGAGAGAGCATTGAAGCCACTCAGGTATGCAATTTTTCAGACTACTGAAATCCCTCTAGCAGAGATGTTTTAATGTTATATTTTGGAAGCTTTGGGTGCCGAAGGGCCAAACGTTTCCTGGGCATTTTTTGGCCAGTTTTAAATGTTCTAGCATTAGACGTTCACCAGATGTTTACAGGTTTTCTTTAGGGAAGTACAACAACTCTATGAGCTATTTTTTAAGTCATGTTCATACTACGTTTATTAGACGTTGAAGTCATGTTCATAACTTATTGGGTACACTCAGTAAGTGTTCTATATAATCAGGTTTCTTGAGTAAAATGGGCTGTCAGCAACCAGCCTGTTTGAAGCACCTGTCACATGTTGAACTAGATGCTTCCTGTGTTAAGAACCAGGGGATGCATTCATTCCTTATTGATCACTCAAATAAATGGCTCACTTCGTCATAGTCATATTTGACATGAAGTGGTAAGATATCCACCACGCCAAAAATGCTGATGGTTTTTAATGCCAGGAAAAAATTGCCTGCATACTCCGAGTTCTTCTCTGATCCTGTTGGATGCATTCTCCTAGGTCAAGCCTTCGTCTTCAGTTGTATGTATGAAAATGCTTCTTCCTTTTAAATACTAGGGACCGATCCCACTGTTGATGATAGTGCAGAGAAACCCTCCACATCTCTCAGTGCATAATTTAGTCCTCTGTCAATGCCTTCGTGTTTTCCGAGCAGAATGTACGAGGTGTGCCATCTCAAAATCAGCTGCTACCCTGGATCTTTGATAGAAGTCACCTCCCTTCACTTGTGGCCTAGCTCATGCCTGATAAGTATTGTCAGTGTGCAGAAGTCTTGACCCAGAGTATTTTGTTTATAGCCAGTTGAGTCTGAAAATTTTAGGAACAGTCTCTTTGTGGATGGATGTTTTTAACTATAATTGTTGTTGCCCAGAGCCATGGGTTTTTAAACCCCAAATTATCCACATGGTGTGTCTTATTAATTCTTTGAACTCCTTATTAGAATAAATTTTTGTGATAAAGGACTGTGAAATCACAAAAGTGAGGCACTGTGGACGCGCTAGTTAGATGCTGGCAGTATTGTGATTCTTTACAGGATTTTTTTTAATGACAACATTCACAGAACTTTTAAAAAAGTATCTTAACATGTCTGTTAATTGGCTGCCACTGATACATAAGAAATACATTTGTGTTTTAAAACACAAATGCAAGAGTACAGTTTTTAATATCTAGAAGTTAGGGGTTCTTTTGTTAACGAAAAACAGACTGACCCAAACCATTCGATCTCACTGGGATTTTTAGACATAGAAACTGAATTATATAAATATTAAATAAACAGTGCCAGTATTCATGATAAAGCGGGGAACTGTATAACATTTGTTTTTATCCGTTCATTAATTTTTAAAGGCATACTCCTGTTTTTTCTTGTGTTTTATTCTTAGCTTTTTTTCCCTTCAAAATTATCATTTAACTATTAAACTGCCATTTATTTCACATGGAAATAGGATTTAATGATCTTGCATGAAAAATATGTAAGTTGCATATTTTCCTTATTTTTTTCTTTAATAAGTGGAAGTAAACTTGCTTGTTCTAGTATATCTGAATTTTCAGGCTTCCTGAATACCTTAATTGTAACTGTCAGTGTTGCACTGGTCAATATGTGGAAACATATTGTTCTACCCTGCTACTTTTACATTTATTTGAAAGTGAACTTGCAGTGATAAGGAATATATGAAAAATATATTGTGTTTCTTTTGATGTTGCAAAAAGTAGCACATGTAAAGCTGGTTTATAAAAACACGCTACCTGTCCAAAAATAAAGACCAAAATGACATTTTGACATTTTTCTGAATTTGCCTTGTTTGAGAAATAGAATATTATTAACTAATTGAGCAATACTCCCCCCACCTACCTACCTCACATGCTTTTTTTATTTTAGTGCAATCTGATGTTTTGCTTGGTCCGTTAGTGAAACAGGAAATATGGAAATATCTTTTAGTTGATTAATTACTCTGTCATCTTTTCTTTCTAGAATATTCTTTGTTTTAATCATGGAATAGCAAGTTCAATTGTGCCTTTGTTTCCTGATCCAAACAAGCCTGTATTTTTCACTTCACTAGAATTACTATGTAAGACAAGTGAATACTCCTGTAAACTATTGTATATGTGAATTACATAATTATACTCTATCTTGTAAGCTATTTTAAGAAAAATTGGAATTTTGACTTCATTTACCAAAACCTAGTATACCATCAGTCCCTGCTTCACCTGCAGCCTACTCACAGGACTGACCTTCCTACGTACTTGACCTGGCCCCAGCTAGTGCTTGCTTTAATCTTTACATCAAACATCTCTACCTGATAGCTTGTCAAAGGAGTTGTGAGGGGTGTGTCCCTGTGCTATTTCCCTGGTAACTGCTGAGCCACCTGACGTCAGTTCCCCTATAGCTGCTAATCTGCCCCTTCCCTTAGTAGCGAAACCTCCTATCTCCATGTCCTGCCATCCTGCTACCTGTTACTTATAGCACACATTGGGGTGTCATTCCAGGACCTTGCTTCAGATGTGTAAGATTCCCCATCTATTAAACCATTGATGTCTCTATCACTGACTGTGGGCTCTTTGATCTTGAGGTGGGGCAAGTACAGGGCTTGGCAGGCCTATGGGGTACAGCCCAATGCCCAGTTTCTCCCACCTCCTTTGTTGGAAGCAGTGAAAAGCAGTTCCCTACATTGATAAATTCTTTTTTTGTTTGTTTTTAATATTTATTTACATAGTTATTTGACTGTTCAAGGTCTTAGTTGTGGCATGTGGGATCTAGTTTGCTGACCAAGGATCAGACCCAGGCCCCTTGTACTGGGAACTCGGAATCTTAGCCACTGGACCAGCACGAAAGTCTCCAGTGATATGTTCTGATTTATATTACACCAAAACTTAACTTTTAGCTCAGTCACGGTATAATAGGTCTGTGTTTAGTTTCGCAAAGGGTTTTTTACAGGCCTTTTTATCCTTCTCTGCATTCCCCAAAGATGCTAAATTGTGTTATCCTGTGCTGGATTTTTAAAATATGAAATTCTGAAAATCAAAGCTCTCTACAGTAGATTTTTATTTGTATTCAATAATCCTTTGGGGACTTGATTTTCCGTTATCCTTTACACTTGGCTATGGCTCAGTTATTCTCAGCAGGATGTGGCGGTGGTGATTTTGCCCCCTAGGGGACATCTGGCAATGCCTGGAGATATTTCTGGTTGTTCCAACTGGATAAGAGTGGGGCATTGGCATTGCACACCAAAGAATTATCTGGTCCAAAATGTCAGTAGTGCCGAGGCTTAGAAACCCTGATGCTCTAGATGGTTTTGCCTTCTTTACAAGATACTGTGAGTTAACTCATCTTTTCAGTAGCCTTTTACGCCCATCTCAAACGTAGTGCTCAAATTTAGTAAAGATAATCTCTTAAATAGTACGAACGTCAAGCTTCTCACGGCCAGCTTTTCTGGTATGTAAAATGAAAAGTACAGTCATGTTTTAGATGAAAAAATTAGGTTCAAAACAAGATCGAATAATATTAGGTATTACTAGATACGTCACTGGGCCAACATGGGTAAATGATCGCCTTCTTCCAGAACAGTTGGAGAAAGAAACATGAAAAGAACTTAAATACTTAACGTTTATGTATTTTAATAGCTTGGTTAGGTAATCTGAGCTTGGTAAAGAAAACCTTGCATGCTAGTATCTGTCCTTGCAAATGGAAACCACACAGGTTCATACAAGTTTGTGCTGGCGTGGAGATACTACACTGAAATGGGTACGTTATGTATTGTGCCTTGGGGTTGATTCTCATTCTAATTTGTCTGAGTGCTAGGAGAAACTCCCATGGTTTTGCATCAAGCATTTATTAAATAAGGTTGATTTAGTTGTCTCCTATAATTTTATTTGGGTTTGTCTTTTCCAATAGGTTGTAGAAATTTAGAAAATGTAATGTAGCCAAGAATGAAAGAGGAGACTTCGAGTTTCTGCATCTATTTTTCCCAGGCGAGGTATATTAAACAAATCAACTTTACTTGTATTGGCCAGCCGATGCATGTTGAAGAGTTAGGATTACAGGAGAATATTATCCAGCTAGGGAAGATACTGATTGACTCTTTGGATACCTCACCCGGAGTCTAGGGCATCTTCATCCTTTTCATTATAAGTCCTCCATGATTGACTATAGCCCACATTTTCGAGAAGGAAGCACCACCTTTCCTGACAATAGGAAGTAAAGATCAGAAATGTTACTAGGGGACTTTGTCATGGATGAACCTATTACAGCAGGTGGTCTAATGCTTCCAGTCTGGAGAGGCATCCAAGCTGGGCCTTTTATTAAATACTGCCTTAGAGTAAAAAGCCTTTCATACCTGGTCATATTTTAGATTTGGGCTTTATAGCCTCAGCATGAAGAGAATATTGAAGCTTTCCAGGGGCTGGTACTTCCCACCAAAAGCACAGAATGTAATATTAGTACTTCTTTTTTATGAACTTCAAATAACTTGTTTCATCTCCACAGGATCTGAGAAGCTTGTTCTATCTTTCCAATCCTGCCTTTCAATAGAACGTAGTAAAAACTGGAATTGAGGGGTAAAAACATTTTGGACTTGAATCCTGTTTGTTAAACAACACTGAGGAATGTAGGTCTAGAACTATTGGTGTTTCTGGTTCGAAGGAAATTTCTTTCGTTCATTTAACATTGCCATGAATGTCAGTGTATGCAGTCGCCAAATCACAGTTAGCTTAGAATCTACAAACTCAG